AAGTAGAAGGTTGGGTTAGTTCGTGAAAGACGGAGCCACGTGATAGCTAACAGTTTCATGTCAGAGGAAACAGGAGGGTATAAGGCTGACATTTGATCATGAATTTAGTTCTAATACATAGTTGTTATTAATGTGGTCTAGCATATGTTAGGGGTGAATGGTTAGTATTATTGTGACCCCATGATGTGCATTGTCAACTAATATGGATATATGTACTTTAGGCCCAATCATATGGTTGTTAGTATTGTAAATCGTGGCTATGTTCATCATATGTGCTATATTTATATATTTATGCCTATTTGCATCTATTTTTAATTGATATGCAACTATATAGATTATGTGAAACTTGATTACTAAGTGGTTATACTCATCCTTACTTTTCAATATTTTAAGGGCCTAGCTCACTAGATTTAGATCAGGGGAAATATGCCAAGCCAAGATTCTAGAGTAATCTTTTTGTATGCCTTTATATTGCTTTTGTGCATTATCATTATTAATTTACCACCTAGGTCAAATGACATTATTTTGAGCTACTTGCACTATCGTTTTGTGTAACTTGTGTATTTTGTGCCCTTAGTTAGTGAAATTTGGTTGTAAACTTTGTATAGGGCCAAAATAATTGTACAAGTAGTGTTACATGTATTGCGGGTTGATTTGAAATGAAAATAGTTGATTTGTGCAAAGATTCATCCCCTTTGTGTTTTATTAATTTAGGGTTTTTGTGTTATAATATTTGGTTGAGTGTTGTATATTGCATGAGTCTAATAGAGTTCATTAAGTATAGTCGATTGATCAGTATAGGCTTTTGACACTTGTATGTGAGTTTGGATACTATTGTTGTGGGTTTTTGTGAAAAAAGTGGTGAAAATTGGTTTAGGTGTCCAACTCTTGGTAGAAAATAAATTGGAGTGTAAAACTTGTGCCATTAACTAGATCTAGGAGAAAGCTCCGTGTAGACACCGAATCGTCTCAATCGGACGTCAAAGGGAGATTTGAGATGCATCGAAAATTCATCCCAATGCTATCTTATGACAACAATTTTTTACTGTCAAATTGCGTGCAATGTGCCATGATGCATGGTGCCTCATGCTGCAACACATGGCACATAGATGATTGAGTCGTGATGTATATGCACTTAGCCATGATGCATGTGTTATTTTTCTACATAATTCACAAATTGAGCTTTGAAACCCAATGTTTTGGGCTCATTTGATTTTTGAGTTTCCACATTGCTTTGAAATCATGTTTTGAGCATAATAAAAGTGTTTTGGGAGGGATTTTATTGTTGAAAGTTTTGAGGATCCCTTTTATGGTTGAAATTGTTTCTCCCAATTGTTTATGTGCTTCTCCCATTTGAAATTTGAAAACTTAGTTCTTTTATTAATAAATGGTGAAAACTTGGTAATCCCTAACAGGTTTAGTCCCTTGATTACCTCGATATTGGTTAATATTAGTTATCTTGTGAGGTGATTACATCTAGTACCAATCTACGCCAGCTGTCCAATCCTAGTCACCGCTCATAGTCCAATTTTAATTGGACCACTGATGTCCAAGTTGTCTTTAAATTCAAATTTAAAATTTAAAATTTAAAATTTTACTTAAGATTTAAACATAGGATTTTAATATTATAATTTAATTTTTTATATCATTTAAATAAAAAAATTTAGAATATATAAATTTTAAATATGAAATTTTAAAACCAAATTTTTAATGCAAATCTATCCATCCATTTGCAAGCTTAATGAATTGTAAGATTTTCTAAGAAAGGAAATAAGCAGCATGAAATAAGGTGGAGTAGGGAGAGGAGGCAGGTTAAGAGAGGCTGAAGAGCGAGAATGTCAGTAAGGGATAGCGTCACCTTTTTAATTATTACGCCATGTCACACCATTTCACCTTTTTTTTCACTTTCTTTTGGAAGCAGATCCCCTGTGCGTCTCTCTCCTCCATGGCCCTGTGTTGCCTCTTCTTCTTCTTATTTTTGTTTCCTTTTCTTTTCTACATCTCATTTCCATCCTTGGATCAGATAAAGAATAAATAACTCACATGATTATAATAAAATAAATAAATAAAAATTTTATTTATAAAAATTAATAATGGTATATAACTGTGAACTGTGCAAGTCATATTTTAATAGTTTAAATTTATTTATTTTTATATGATAATTATTTTATAAAATAATTAAATTTAATTTGTTAGTTAAAAACTGTTAAATTTAAACCATTGATTTTATTATTTAAAGGTGTAGATGGGATGGGGAGAAGAAAAGGAGAGACAGAGGAACCAGAACACTTTCTTTTGCTTTCTCATGAACCTTTTTCGTTGGATGACATGGCAGTTTTTTTTATGTAATTTAAATAATAATGATGATGATGATGATAATTAATGATATGGATTTTTGTCCATTTGAACGATTACGAACAAATAAAATTTGCTTTTCGCAGATCTCACCCTTTCTAGAAGTTAAGTCAAAATTAGTATGTGCGTCTCTTCTATTTTGCTTCATACACTTGCAAATAAAAAATTCTTGGCAGGGGAATGATGCCGCCTTACCTTATTGATTTATTTATAATTTACAATGTTTTTCAGTGAATGAAAATTTAAATTACATTTTTTTATTTTGTTAATGTAATGTTAAACCTTGGAGATTTATTTTTTTAATAAAAACACAATCACATGATAACGGAAATCACATCAGATTCTGATTAATTCAAGTTAATTATTTGATGCTGAGGATGATAACTCTTTCAAAAATATGTTATTAAAACAAGGGTTAACGAGCATCTTCAAACATAAATTATTATATTAATAGTATCATAAACTTTGACCTCCTAAAATATGTAAAAATTCTTTTAAATTTTGAATGCTTGAAAATGGTGATTGCTTTTGTAGATGTGGGACCTAATCATATACTAACGTGGCACTCATCTTGACTCTTAAAAATAACAGTTGTTCCAACTTAATGATAGGGTTTCAAGCATTCAAAATTTAAAACTTAATAAGAATTTTTGTATATTTTAAGAGTTTTTAGTTTAAGATATTATTTGTGTAATAGTTTAGGGTTTAAAATGCTCATTAACCAATATAAATGCCTATTTATTTTGAAGACGTTTTTTTATTGATACCAGCTTAAACTCCTATCATTGCTGGGCAACTTAAATTCATACCATTGTTTTTAAATGAAAGGTAATTTCTTATTCTCTTTCAACCATAATATATAGAGTTTCTTTTAAAAGATAAATTTGGCGTATAATGTAGGGCATTATATATTTTTTATAATTATTTGTCAAGTATACTCTTACTTGAGTTATTATTATTTCTTTAAAAAAAGTGAATTATATTTTTAATTGTCATTAATTATTAAAACACTTATATAAGATATTTAATTTAATGAGATGAAATTTTGTGAGTGATTAGACCATAAAGTAATTATCAACACACTATATTAATTTTTAAAAAGAGGGTATGTTAATTATTAAACAAATGCTTGTTCATGGGGATCGGTTCATAATTTTTCATTGCAATGCACTATCATATGTTCTATATCATTAATCTTTAGATTTAGGGCAATAACATTATTCAAATCACCTCAAACATTACGTATCCCACTGTTCTATCTATGCAAATATTCAGACTCTACTAAAGATATTGAAGAAGTACTTTATTTATTTCTTATATTTTCATAAAACCAATGAATTATATATGAATATCCCAACTTCGCCAAAAATCTACCCACTGATTTCTCAATGACTGATATTAGGCCCAATCTGATTCACACAAAATTTTTTAAAATAAGTTTTGAAGAAAATATTTTTTTTAAATAATTATTCTATAAAACATATTTAAAATGGTGAAGTGAAGAGTGACGGATTTGTTTTATTAATATGATTTTCCTTAATAAAAACATTATATTCTCCCCCAGCCCTATTCTCTAATTTTATAGAACAAAAGGTAACAACATTAAAAAGATGTTCTAGTTTTTTTAAAAAATAAATTTTAATTTTTTATTTTCCTAAGCTCAACCAAAAACATATTTTTCATTTTTTTTATTTTTTATTTTTTAAAACAAAAAAATTTTCTCACAATAGAAAATCAAACAAGCCTTTCTTAACTATCTTGATAGCTAACTGCTTTGTTACACGACTCTTGCTGTTTTTTTTTTTTTTTTTTGGGGAGTGGAAAACATGCTCTTTCCATGTATTCATGATCTATATGGTATTGTATGAATCATGGATCAAGTTTCAAAGCATTCAATCTTGAATGTTCAAATTAAAACTAAAAATTCTCAATCTAATTTCACTTTATTTTTTATTTCCTAATGGTTTTGTTTTTGTTTTAAGAGATGCACAATTTAAAATAAAAATAATCTTTTAACCATCATTCAGGCAAAAAAAAATTTATTTAAAAGTATAAATAAAAAATTATCTAAACCATCGAATTTTAATTTAAAGATATAATCTTATCACGATGACAATACCATAATGACAAAATTGCCCCCTAAATCCCATCTAATTATTAGTTATAGTCAGATATATAAACATGTTGATGAGTCTTTAATGTTTTTGGGTCATGAATCAATATAACTCATCATCACAATCCTTCCAATCTTATTTTGGGCTAGTAAATTTCCTCCTGGCCCTGAACTACTAAGGCCCATTTCTGCTATGGCATGATGTTACAACATATTCAGACTCACCTATCTTATTTGAAATTATTTTGATAGATTTGCCTAACCCAAGTGTCTCTGCCTAGATTTTTCTTTCTTATTTGCGCAAAAGTGTGTGTGTTCATATATGTTAGACGTATAAATTAATTTTCCATAATTAATTAACTCCATAGAAAGCCTAAGACATAATCTCATATGATTGCCCTTCATAAACACTTATGGCTTCTAAAACTCTGTTTAAAAGAAATACTTTTATGAGGTCCAAAAGAAAGGTTTTGAAGGATTGCCTAAAGACCCCCAATTTAGTACATATAATAGTCAATTGTAAGAAGCCAAATAGCCAATATAAAAAAGCAACCAAATTCATTTCAAAAGTAACAATTACAACAAAGCACACAAAGAATAATACAATGGGGACTTAGGAATGCACATGACAATTTTAACTCACCCTTTTTTTTTTATTTACATCCATTCTAATTTATATTTAATAAGCACACCTACTTAATTATCCATGACAAAGAACAGTTAATTGGAATCACATAGGTAATACTATTTGACACACACATTGTGGCATTATTGAAGGATCATATTTGATTCTTTCTTGAACTTGATATCCTTGAGGAAAACACTTGTTAAAACATTTCTGCTCTGTAGAGAAGCCTCTAGCAGTTGGATAGCCTGGTCAATAAGAGCATGTTTAGAAAAGTAGGAAAAAAAAAAAGAGTAGAACTATTTTCCGATCAGGCACAGTAATTCTAATTATCCCAAAATCCCATGAAATAAATAAATTGGTACCAAATCCATTAAATGTAAATAAGTTTGTCTAAGCAATTACAAAAGCACCATTATCAAATTTTATCTTTAAAAAATATAACTCATGCACTGTCAATTATTGAATTGCTTTCATTGGCCTCTCCATCACTAAAGAGCAACCATGGCTAGTCACCACTACCAGTCATCTATGACTAGAGCTCCAGCATTAGTGGTGGATGAGTTATATTTTTTAAAAAAAAATAAAATATGATAAGGTTATATTTTTGTTATTTCATAGATAAATTTATTTACATTTAAGAGACTTAGGACTTGATAGTAATTTATGAATTTTAGAGGATTTTGGGGTAATTAGATTACTGTGTGGCTTGGAGTTGACAATAATTCTCCCTAAAAAAAACCCCACACCACATACATATATTAAAATTACCTCTTGGATTCCAAACTCAACAACCATTTCTTGTATTGAACTGATGTCTTTGATGTTGAACTTGTTGAGCGAAGCATGACACGAGATAGGAGACGTAGGTAGAACCACAAGATCATCCATTATTGTATATGTCACAGCCTCCTTCACAAACCCATCCTCCCCACCTGAACCTTTCAGTTCCATCTTCTTCTTCCCCGCATATGTCACAGAATCGTTCATCAAACGATCGCAATTTGGACATAAAGTGTTCACAACCAGAGTCACATAGTTAGAACACCTACTACCCCAACTGCACCTGTAAAGCTTAGGAGGCTCATACACCTCACTATTCCCTTTGAAATTTGGTAGCAAGAGGAAGCCAGGTGGGATTAGGGTTGTTGGTTTCAATAACATGTCTTTGTCTTGGCTCTGTTGTAGTAAGTATGTGCTACTGAGATTCTCGATACTTTCATAAAGCTTGCCTAATGAACCCACCATGTTGGTTTTGGTTAGGAGGTTCGTGACAGCACCGATCGGTAGGCGGTGGAGGTTAAAGAGGAAGTCAACGAAATCTTTGGATGCTTCGGCGAAGAGAACTCTATCAACCTTTATGTCAACTAAAAGCTTCAAGCTCATTTTTGATGTGGTTGATGATGATGATGTTGTTGTCGTCGTCATTGTTAACGATAAATCTGTGATATTAGTATGAATAAGTATATGAATTATTGAATAGCTATAGTGAGATCAAGTTTGCAGCATTTGAATTTAATTCGTATATGTAAGAAATATGTTTCCTCTAATCTTATTTATAAGTCACTTCTAACATTTTTACTGAAATAAATAAAAACTTTAAACTTCATTAATCTAAAAATTTAATAAGTTTTCAAATTTACTCCATATTAAATAATATTTTAAAAATAAAATATACTAACATTTAATAACCTTCTCACCATTTAACAGGAACAAAGGGCAAGAATAGACAAATACTCATTTAGATATCTTATAAATAAGAGTAAAACAAATACTCTCTCTATGATATCATAAATAGTAACAGAGGAGTCAAAGCTATAAAAACTCTCTTCGAATCATCTTTAGGAAATGAAACCCTTTTAACTCTGAATTTTGAATATTAAAGATATAGGATGTTAATAAAGAAAGAATATGATGATTTTTAAATAAGCCCCATGGCTGATGATAATATTACTTTTAGCAAAATGTACTAGCTAGCTCGATTCAGTTAAATGCAACTTGAAAACGTACGAGTTGAATAGGACTTGAACTATACAGTTTAACATGGAGGACACTAGATCAAACGCACAAACCATACTGTATGACACTTCTTTTATATATATATATATATATATTTATATATGTATATATATATATATATATATATATATCTGTGTGTGTGTGTATGTATATATTCCTTACCCATTCAATTTTTTCTTTTTATTTTTTTAAATTTGGAGTCAAGCTTCTTTTCATTTTTTATGGGGTTAGGCGAAGATTAGCTTACTTTTTTGTATATATTTGAACAAGCCAAGAAGATTTACCCAAATTACGTGTGTGTGCGTGTTTGTGTCTTATCTTAGATATGTGATGGAGCATATATGCTGTACCCATCCTCCAGTGAAAAGAATGGGAACAAAAAAAAATATAAAATTAGATCCCTTCTGGGCAATATTTTATTTCATCTCAAAATTTGTATTTAAAGAAATAAAATATTGAATGAGAATAATCTTAAATTGAATCTCATATCCTAGTACCCATCTTATGGATCATACACCAAATTATAATAATCCTCAAAATTTTCTTTGAACAGTACAAAAAATCATGATCATTCAAAAGGAACCTATTTCTTTCTTTTATATATCTTTTTAAATATTGAAACACACTTTTGAATAGAAACAAGTCTTTATTCTTACCTATGAGGTTCTTGAACTTGAGATGTTTGTGATGTCAGAACTTATTAGAACCACGATGAAGTTCTCTGTTGATTATCAAATCAACATAGAGAAATCAATAGTAAACAAATAAAAAAAGGAAACTTCGTACATGTTAACATTTGAGTTTGAGGTTAATTATATATACAAGGTTGTGAACGTAACGTGAAAGCACAAAAATATTCATGACTTTTCTTAAGCTTTTTATGAGTAGGATTCTTTGGAAAAGAATATCATTAATTCTTTGCATAATCTCATGTCGTTAGTGTCTCCCCTTCTTTAAATTCTTTGCATAATCTCATGTTATTAGTATCTGCTTTTCTTTGAATAAAAAATAGGGATAATGAAAGTTTTAGTCTCTCAAATTTGCCATAATTAACAATTAGGTCCCTCAAGTTTAATTTTTATCATTTTAATTCCTTAAGTGTGTAGCAATTATTGATCTGGTCATAATTGTTTTTTATTTTTGAAAACCTGGTCCTAATTGTTTTAAAAGGAAGTAATTAATATTGTTAAAATCTACTGACATGAATAACAGAATATTGATGATATGAATATAGATTAATAAAAAAGTGTAATTAATTATTTAAGTGGTAAAAAATTGACTTAAATAGAAATTCTAAAAAAGTAAAAGAACATAATGCAGTAGAAGAGACTAGATTAATAGAAATTAAATTAATTTAAAACCTAATTAATTTTCATTTAGCTACACATTCATGCAAAGTCATCAACATACTTTATATCATAATAATTTAGATAAAAGTCATCTTGGGTCCTCTAACTTATTTATATAAGGTCTTAGTTTGATCCCTTAATTTTATAAAGTATTTTTATTCACTTAATTAAGTCTTAACCTTAACACATTTATTAATTAATATCAAATAATTAATTTTTTGCATCAATTGTCATTGTTATTTTGAAAAGTTAAATTTCATATATCAACATTTAATAATGCAAAAATGATAGAAAAAATTTCCCAAGTCATATAAATAACAATCTAGTTCTTCAAAATGTTATAATTTTACTGAAATCTTTAGAGACTTCCATGTGAATAAAATTTAAAATGAAAAGACTATTTTACTGTTATTGAAAATAACAAACCTAATCACAACTTTTGCTTAATGAATAACAAATTTTATTTTGTGAATTGTAATTGTTGAACAAGAAATTACAAGTTATCAAGTGTAATTTCTGTTATTGAAAAATAAGTTTTTAAAATAACAAACCCACTCACAACTTTTACTAAATAGATAATAACTTTTTTTCTGTAAATTATAAAAGTTGAATAAAAAATTATAACTTGTTAAGTGTAACTTTTGTTATTGAAAAACAAGTTCTCAAAGTAATAAGCTTCAATCATAACTTTTATTTAAAAAATAATAACTTTTATTCAAAGAATTGGAAGAATTGAATAAAAAATTACAACTTGTCAATAAGGGTAAAATAGTCATTTCAATTTAAAATTTATTGACATAAAAGTTCTTAAGAATTTTAGTAAAATTATGACATTTTAAAGGATTAGATTATTATTTATATAATTTAGGAGAATTTTATTGCTATTTTTTCTTTAATATATATGTTGTCAGCATTTAAAAGTTTGATATCAATATTTTTGTTAATGAAACTAAGAAAGAGTTAAAGAATTGAAACAATACTTTATAAAATTAAGAGATTAAAATTAAATATTATATAAAGTTAAAGGACCAAAAATTAAGAGTCCTTTAGTGTTCTAAAACTTAAAGGAGTAACATGATAAATTAATATGAGAAAATTTAAAAGATTAAATTGATAAAAATTAAATTTAAAAAATTAAATTAATAGTTGAGATAAATTTAAAAGATGGGAGGTTTCATTGTTAAAAAAGTCACCTCCACAATATAATCCATCCAAGTTTCAACATTATTATTATGGGCTAGTAAATCTCCTCCAGACCTTACACTACTAGGACCCATTTCAGATCTACTATAGTACTATATTATAACATATTCTCAAATTCTTATATGAAAAAAACATATACAATATTCACATGTCTTGATTTAATTGAAAACAAGCAAATTAAGTATATAAGATTAAATATATAAACTTTTTTGTTATAAAAATCTAACTCACCTATATCCTTCAAAATTTTTTTGATCAATTAAAAGACTAGTCAAACTCAAGTGACGTCTCTCACTACATTACGAGATTCTTTATTTGCATGCACACACATGATATATCTACATATATGTTTGTTATAATGGAATAACTATTTAAAATTAATTTGGCATAATTAATTTCATAATTTTTAGATAAAATCCCATTTTAGATTATTTGTTAGTGAAAATTTTCTTAAAATATCAATCTTTCTTATTTCCCCTAATAATTTTCAAGATATAAACTTAAATTTTTATTATTAGCTAATTTTTTAACAAGAAATTCACATTAAATACAATGCATTGTGCTATTAGATCTAGTGGTGTTTTGACTCCCTTATTATGTGAATAAATGCACTAGTACAAAAAACATTTTTTGCAATAGTTAAAGAACTATTTTTTCAATCCAAGAATTGATGTAGTGGAAATAAGTATAGTTGTTATATGGGACTTATTGTGAAAGTGAATCAATGAACTATTGCTATAAGTAATGACAATTCAAAGGATTAAATGTTGTGAAAAAGACTACTTACAACAACAGTTACCCTCTAAACTATCATTAAGTAATCACTTATAGTGACAGTTTTGTTCACAACTATCACCATAAGTATATCCTTTTTTTTTAAAAAAAAAGAAGTAGATTTGGTATGCTATACATCTATTATTTACAAAACTTGCATTTATACGTAACAACAGCTCAGAGACTAATACAAACATGTAAATTGAATTTTTACATATCCAATATAAATATATATCTAATTATCTACTCTAACCTTATTAATTCTAGGAAGTAACTTGTAGTGACCCTGGTTACTACTCCTAACACACCATATAGCATTATATTTAATAAATTAGGCTAGCCTTTAAGACTTCCTATCTTAAACAAGACACATAAATTCTATATATGTTTGCCATCAGATCAAAATAATCACACAATCATGGCTCATAAAAGACACTTCCCTATTTCAGCCTTAAAGTACTCTTGCCCTGGCTTGTAACACAACTCACCCTGGCCTTAGACACTGAGGCATCACTTGCCTCAACTAATGCAACACCTTGTCTTGGTGAGCGAAACCCTACTCGCATCAGCTTGCATGTCATTCGCCTCAGTGAGAATTTACTTGCTCACCTATGCCTATGCTCGATCACCTAGGCTTGTGCTAACTCACCTTGGCGGCCAACACGTATCACTTATCCAGATTCATTCATTCATAGTATTTTAAGATAATAAATTCATACGCATATTTATCAAGATCATTTACATGACTATAATATTCTATAATGTCTTTCTGAGCATGCTTTCAATTTAAATCAGACTTTAATAGTTAAAATAAAGCTAAAACCCAACTCGAATCTCTTAAATAAACAAATATAAATTGAGGCCTCTAAAACCAATTTAGACCTAAGTAATTCAAATACCAAAATAACAATTTTAATGTGGGTTAAACATTTGTAGTTGGCAAAATCTCAAAATAATAATGCATTGTAGTAATCACTAGAGTCTAAAGATCTCTATTATTTGGTTCTTGAGGCTTTAGCTTTCTCCTTGCCCTTTTCTTCTCCTAAACACAAGTAAATGAAATAGGGTGAGATTTCATACAAGATCTCAATAACTAAGATACTTAATATGGCATGTGAAATAATGGTAATAATTAATTCACATAACACATATATTTCAGTTTAAAACCACATACTAGTCATCTATTAGAATATGCATATCAAACACTTATTTCTACAATAACTCATAGATAATCATTTTTATAATGATGTATGCTAAATTTCCCCTTATAACCTCCTTATTTCCTCTGTCTAACCCCATGATCAATTAACTATAGCTTTTGTTCATACAACTGAGCCAGATTTGTCTTCAAAATAGGAAGGGTTGCCTAACTAAGGCTTTTGCAATCAAGTTTGGACCATGGGTTCCCTTAATCAAATTTCAGAGTGTTATGATATGCTCGAACAACACTGCCAATCCAAACAGTGAAATTGAGTAAGTACCCAACCAACACTGTCAATCTGAGCAGCAAAATTAAACATGCATTTAACATATTAATCACTACTGGTGTGCGACCTCAGTAGGGCTTACCATGGGTTTTCATAATAACAACTTCTCCCTGACAAGTGAACTCCCACCTTTATGCATGCATTGAGATAATCAAGTATATATATATATATATATATATGCATATGAACAGTGTTCTCATAGCAAAATTATATTTCAAAATTCATATATACATCCTTTCCAACACTACTCAATTACAAGTTTCCTATGAAAAAACATATAATAAGACAATTCCTGGTAACACAAAAACATGCTTCAAGCATTCAAATCATACTCTTAGAGTCATACAAAATAGTATATCTCAGCTCAGATTTAGATTTTACAACTCACATGCAAATCTCATTTTGATAAGTAAAATGGCATAATTAAATTACTAAGCAATATCATAGACTATAATAAATAACATAATAAGATTCCAATTACCTCAAACCCTTAAGAGATCAAAGATTTAACCTCTCAATCCTTGAGTTTTACTGCACATGAACCTAGACAATTCTAAGGCTATCTTAATCTATAGATGAGTTTTATATGAATAATTAAACTAGTTAATATTCTATTTGAGACTCAGATGAGCAAACCCTAATGGCTTGTTTGGTATGCAACATTGAAAGGTAGGGATTGGGATTAGGCTGGAGTAATCCCACCTTTCATATGTTTGGTATGAGTGATTCACCAATACTTGTGATTGGTCAATCCTACTTAGGTAGGAATATTGAAACCCACCACCCCCATGGTATTGCTCAATCCCACCAAAATTAATCTTGAGATTGATTTTTTAAGACAAAAATACCCTTCTAATCTCTCCCCTCCTTCATCTCCCTTCCTTCACTTTTTCATATCCGTCACAAGTCATTACTTGTATCCATCTTTGTCAGATGTCGTTCGAGTTATCGTCTCCATCAC